AAAACAACACGAATAATTAGATAAAACAAACAACCGAATAAACGAGAGATGGGGAAAAATAGGCAATCGAAGGAGCTATCTATCACATGATTATCGCGTCACAATAGATATCAGCTTGACAGACCCAACGACGGAAAAGCAACCTGCTCTTAACCACGAACTACATCGCACGGGAGTGATTTACATGACGCAGCCGAATACAAAGGCCTTCCTTCTTGCGGTAAAGGGAGAAGGAAGAAGAGACGGTGCATTGTTATACATTGTATTTCCTGTTGTGTTTTTTTTTCGTTAAGTCATCTTTTAAAATTGTTGAAGATGCTTACCCATAATCGTGCAAGATTGTGTCGATGAAGGAGAATGAAGGAGAAGCGACTGGAGGAGGAGGAGGAGGAGGAGTAAAAGTGGAGGAGGAAGAAGAGGAGGAGGAGGAGGAAGAGAGGGAGGAAAAGGACAAGGAGGAGGAGGAGGAAGAGAGGGAGGAAAAGGACAAGGAGGAGGAAGAGTAAGAGTGGAGGAGGAAGAGAAGGAGGAGGACAAGGAGGAGGAAGAAGAGAAGTAGAACGAGGAGGAGAGGGAGGCGGGAGAGGAAGATGAGAAGGAGGAGGAGGAGAAAGAGGGAAAGGAGAAGGAAGTGGAAAAGGATAAAAAGAAAAAAGAGAAATGAGGAAGGAGGAGGAAAAGGAGGAGGAAGAGGAGAGGAATGAGGAGACAGGTGAACCGTAATGGCAGTAGCAGTAGTAGTAGGAGAAGGAGGAGAAGGAGGAGAAGGAGGAAAAGGAGTAGGAACAGGAGCGGGAGAGGTAGTAGTACCAGTAGTAGTAGTAGAAGAACAAGAAAAAAGAAAAAGAAAAAGAAAAAGAAAAGAAGAAAAATAAAAATAAAAAGAAAAAGAAAAAGAAAAAGAAAAAGAAAAAAAAAAGAATAAGAAAAAGAAAAAGAAAAAGAAAAAGAAAAAGAAAAAGAAAAAGAAAAAAAGAATAAGAAACAGAAAAAGAATAATAAGAAGAAAAAGAAGAAAAAGAAAAAGAAAAAGAAAGAGAAAAAGAAAAAGAAGAAAAAGAAGAAGAAGAAGTAGGAGGAGGAGGAGGAGGAGGAGGAGGAGGAGAAAGAGAGGGAAGCATGGAAGTAGGGTATGACTCACGCTCGATCCCTTGGCACAAACGGCGATCGTTTCCAAACACGATGGGGTGTGAGTCACGTCGAGTCCCAACTCACTCAGACAACAGGCATGGGTGTTGCCCACTCCACGCCCCCCCCTCCCTCATCACCCCCCCACTTCCCCTTCCCGCCCTCCCCGCCGGTGCTCTCCTCCTCCTCCTCTTCCTCTTCCTCCCTTCCTCCCCTCCCGCCCTTCCCCCTCTTTACCTCGTTCCCCTCCCTTCCTCCCTCTGTTCCTCTCTCTCTTTGTCCTCGCTCGACCTCACAAACACCAATGTCATCGGCGATATCACTTGTTTGGGAAAAGGGAAAAAGGTGTTGTTTTTTGCTTATATTCACTCTCCCTCTCTGTCACTTTCCTAGTCTTTCTCTCTTTTTGCATTAGTCTTCGGTTTTGTCTTTCCCTTTCTCTTCCTTTCTCTGTCTCTGTCTCTGTCTCTTTCTTTCTCTGTCTCTGTCTCTCTCTCTGTCTCTGTCTGTCTGTCTCTCTCTCTCTCTCTCTCTCTCTCTCTCTCTCTCTCTCTCTCTCTCTCTCTCTCTCTCTCTCTCTCGCCCCCCCCCTCTCCCTCATTACCCCTTCCCACCCTCTTTCTTTTGTACTTTCGTGTTGTCCGTTCTATTCCACCCTTCCTTTCGCATGATATCATTTTCGTTTTTCACTCTGGTCTTACTTTTCATCCTCCCTTCCTTTCCGTTTTTACGTGTGTTTTTAATGCTCGTCAATTATTGGTATATATGTATGTATATATATATATATATATATATATATAGATAGATAGATAGATAGATAGATAGATAGATAGATAGATAGATAGATAGATAGATAGATAAATAGATAGATATATAGATAGATAGATAGATAGATTGATAGATAGCTGTATATGTGTGTGTATGTGTGTGCGCGTGTTCATGTTCACGTTTTCTTTCCCCGTGTCTCCTACTTTTAGTATTTTTTGCGATTCTGTCATATTTCAAGAATAGTTTCATTATAAAGATAAACATGCAGAAAACGTTTTCACTACTTTCACTGCGCTGTTCCCGGGTAAGAAATGATAAATGAAATGACTTTACATTTGTTAGTTTATATGTTTAAGGAATTTACGGTTATTTTTATACAAGCGTAATTCATGGCAGTTTTATATACTGAGTTTAGGACATAATGGAAATATAAAATACATTTCTGTCTATTTCAGATTTTTCTGTTTTTCACCTTCTTTTCCTTGCACATTAAGTGTTTCATTCACGCATATCCCTTTAATTCTTACCGTAACATGACCCCCCCCCAAAAAAAAAAATATATATATACGTGTCTCCTACTTTTAGTATTTTTTGCGATTCTGTCATATTTCAAGAATAGTTTCATTATAAAGATAAACATGCAGAAAACATTTTCACTACTTTCACTGCGCTGTTCCCGGGTAAGAAATGATAAATGAAATGACTTTACATTTGTTAGTTTATATGTTTAAGGAATTTACGGTTATTTTTATACAAGCGTAATTCATGGCAGTTTTATATACTGAGTTTAGGACATAATGGAAATATAAAATACATTTCGGTCTATTTAAGATTTTTCTGTTTTTCACCTTCTTTACCTTGCACATTAAGTATTTTATTCACGCATATCCCTTTAATTCTTACCGTAACATGACCCCCCCCCAAAAAAAAAATATATATATATATATATATAATATATATATATATAATATATATATATATATAGATAGATAGATAGAAGATAGATAGATAGATAGATAGATAGAAGATAGATAGATAGATAGTAGATAGATAGATAGATAGATAGATAGATAAATAGATAGATAGATAGATAGATAGATAGATAGATAGATAGATAGATTGATAGATAGATGTATATGTGTGCGTATGTGTGTGCGCGTGTTCATGTTCACGTTTTCTTTCCCCGTGTCTCCTACTTTTAGTATTTTTTGCGATTCTGTCATATTTCAAGAATAGTTTCATTATAAAGATAAACATGCAGAAAACAGTTTTCACTACTTTCACTGCGCTGTTCCCGGGTAAGAAATGATAAATGAAATGACTTTACATTTGTTAGTTTATATGTTTAAGGAATTTACGGTTATTTTTATACAAGCGTAATTCATGGCAGTTTTATATACTGAGTTTAGGACATAATGGAAATATAAAATACATTTCGGTCTATTTAAGATTTTTCTGTTTTTCACCTTCTTTACCTTGCACATTAAGTATTTTATTCACGCATATCCCTTTAATTCTTACCGTAACATGACCCCCCCCCAAAAAAAAAAAATATATATATATGCAAATATACATACATACATGTATATATATATATCTAAAAATAATAATAATAATAATGAATAATAATAAAGATAAAAAGGAAAATAAATCCGGTCCACCCGAGGCGCGACCTGCCTCCCCCGGTCGAGTGCGCCGCAGCGCGGCAGTGCGGTTTATGGGTGATGATGTACAGGGTTTATTGCAGCCGTATTGTGCCACGCCGGATACTTGCGTTCGGATAAGCGTGGGCGTGTGCGTGTGCGTTTTGGTGTCTGTGAGCTTTAGGTTGTTGGTGCACCGTTGTGTTGTATTTTCCTATTCTTGTTAAGATTTTGAAAAATATCTCCTTGATTTTTTTCTGAACATTATCATCTTTATCATTATCCTTTTCATCATAATCATCACTATCATTATCATTATCATAATAATTTTTATTATCTAGTTAATATGAAAATGTGTTTCTCGTCCGTTGGTCTCATCTTTCTTATCATCATCATCATCCTCATTTTCCTCCTCTTCCTCCTGCTCCTCCCCATCATTAGCCTTTGTCGTTCGAGTCACACTGTCCTGCAGGGCTGCCTCTGCTGTAATTATACGTGCAAAAAGCTGTTCGGACGTATTTACACCTTGCATTAGCTAAATCCTTCTTATGCTTTCTTGTAGAATGACAAACCAGTTTCAGGGTGTGTGCATCTTTTTCTATCACTCTCGTTTTTTCTTCTCTCACCCCCCGCCCCCTCGATCTCTCGCTTTTTCTCCTCTTCCTCTCTCTCTCTCTCTCTCTCTCTCTCTCTCTCTCTCTCTCTCTCTCTCTCTCTCTCTCTCTCTCTCTCTCTCTCTCTCTCTCTCTCTCTCTCTCTCTCTCTCTCTCTCTCTCTCTCTCTCTCTCCTTGCTCTCTCTCTCTCTCTCTCTCTCTCTCTCTCTCTCTCTCTCTCTCTCTCTCTCTCTCTCTCTCTCTCTCTCTCTCTCTCTCTCTCTCTCTCCCTCTCCCCCTCTCTCTTTTTCCTCCTACTCCCCGCCTTGTCTCTCGCCCACACTCCCTTAAAATGCTTCTTCGTCGTGGCTTAGTTATTTCCTTGAGATTATGCTGACAGTTAAATCAACATTTACCTAAACTGCGCCTTGTATATATTTTCTTGTACTCTGACTTTGTTGTTGATTGGTATACACACGATTTTTCTATAACCCCCCCCCCTCTCTCCCTCTCTCTCTCTCTCTCTCTCTCTCTCTCTCTCTCTCTCTATATATATATATATATATATATATATATATATATATATATATATATATATATATTTATCTATCTATCTATCTCTCTCCCTCTCCCTTTCTTCTCTCCGTCTCTCTCTCTAACTAACCCGCTAATAAATTCTAGACGTAACAAGACAAACAGATAGATAAAAAAAAGTTAAACAAAAAGGCGATTTGATCTAAATTTTCCACAACTACATCACAAAAAACAATAACAGATACCGAAAGGTCACAGAGGCAGCTAAAAAATCGCCAGAACGAACGACAGGTGCGCGACCTTTTCCCCGGAGAGGCAGTTGCCGTGACCTACCTTGTGCAGCGCCGACAGGGGCTTCGGGTTCGCCGAGGCCACGCCCACCAGGGTCACCAGGAGAACTGTCACGTCCGCTCTCATCCTGCGAGGGAGGGCAGGGTGATTAGCTTGAAATTTGGCCTGGGAGAAGCTGTCGTTATTACCATTATTATTGTTATTCTTATTATCATCATCATTACCATCATCATCATCATCGATATTATTACTATTATCATTATCATTATCATTATCATTATCATTATCATTATCATTATTATTATTATTATTATTATTATTATTATTATCATTGTTATTATCATTATTGTTATTATATTTATCAATTATAAAAATAACAATAGTATAATCATCAATTTATCATCATTATCATTATCTTTATCATCATTATTATTGTTGTTATTGCTGTTGTTGTTTTCTTCATTATCATTATCATCATTTAGAATAATCATTATTATATTTATCTTTAATTTCTTTTCACGACTCTCTCTCCCCTTTCCTTCTCTCTCTCTCTCTCTCTCTCTCTCTCTCTCTCTCTCTCTCTCTCTCTCTCTCTCTCTCTCTCTCTCTCTCTCTCTGCTTCTTCCCACGTGGAATGACGTCACATCTTTATGTAAGACGGAGGCGATAGCAATATATGGATGACTCTAGGGGAAAGTAATAGACATCTATCGTACTCAGTGAAAAAAAATATATATAAAGGCTATAAAATAACAATAAAAAATTTAAAAATGCACAAAAAGACGAATCGAAAAGACACAAAATCGTCTTTACATAAAGGCCACGCATGATAAACCCCATAAAAGACGCACACACGCACACGTGCACACGCGCGCCAAGCCACACTGGAAGGCACTCCGGGCGACGGCGCTGATTGCCTTCCCTCTGAGAGTCACACCGCAAGGCTCCCGTAACGATGCCTTTTAAAGAAACGTCCTTCAAACATCACTAAGAACCTGTGTCGTGTTTATGTTCCGGTGAAGATAAGTTTATGTGTCACGGTGGCTAAATAAAAGAGATTCGTGATGGTTATTTTAAGTGGAACAAAAGAGCTTCGAATTGCGCGGACAAATGTGTATTTGAGGGAGTAGAAGTGATGGTGGTGTGGTTAATGTGAGTTAGACGGGTGTGGAGGAGGCTTATAATTCGCACTTATTTAGCTGCAGTGTTTAGTTGACATTGTTCAATCAAACGTTAATACAAATATCTAGCAAGAATGAGGTAGGTACCACGTGGGCTTATAGAAAGGAAATCATGAATCTCTTTCCCTTAATCAGCGACAAATTATAATTTGAATACATCTTGCGACCATAATATATCAACACGGATGGTATTAAGATCTTGATTACTATAAAAAGAAAAGAGAACACATAATCCTAATCCGTAACATCTTTACTCACGCATTAAACACATTCTTTAAAAAGTTTGTATGAAAATGTACTTCTCGCTCGTTGGTCTCCCGGAATGTCCCCGCGCCGCCGACCGCTCTTTGACGAAGAAGGAAAAGAGGGGCAAAAGTCCCAGTGCGCGGCGACCTTCAACTTGACTTACGAAAGCTACCTTTGTCGCCGAGCAAAATATAGGGTATTTTATATCTTACGTTCGTTTTTAATTGTCATTTTTGTCGTTGTTGTTTTCTTTTTAGTTAGCATTGTCCTGTACATCCTTTGTTTGGCCTGGATTTCCGGGAATCATTTTTTGTCTGTCTGTCTCTTTTCCTCGAAGATAATGTGATAACAATACTAATTAGGATATTGAAAAAAAAATGTCGCTTCGCTTAAAACATTATGTCATGAAATCTTTAAAATATCTGAGGGACAAGCGAGGATGATGATGAGGGGGGGGGGTAGGGGGGAGGAGGAGAGAAGGGAAAGCCTAGGACAAAATGATGATAATGATAATGATGATGATAATGATAGAAAATAATATTGATCATGATGGTAATAACAATAATGATATCAGTAATGATAATGATAATGGAAATGATAATGGCAATAATAATGATAATGATAATAATGACAATAGTGATAATAATAGAACGATAATAATGCTAATGTTAACAATATCAATGATAATGATAATGACGATAATGAAGATGATGATGATGATTATGTTAACAATAATAATAATAATGATAATAATGATAATAGTAATGATAATGATAATGATAATGATGATAGCAATGATGATAATAAAAACAACAACAACAACAACAACAATAATAATAATAATAATAATAATAACAATAATAATAATGATAATAATAATAATAATAATAATAATAGTAATAGTAATAGTATTAATGATGATAATGATAATTGTAATAAGGATGATGATTATGATAATGTAGTCATGATAATGATAAGAATAATAGTAATGAAAAAAAACAATAATAAAAGAAACAAAAAAAAAAAAATATATAATAGTAATGACACTACTACTAATGATAATAATAATAATAATAATAATAATAATAATAATAATAATAATAATAATAATGATA